GAATAATTTTAATTCTCTAACTCCTGGCACTCCAAGTTGGCAAGGAGGATATCTGCTACGCTTTCAATTCCGAAAACACCGTTCTACTCTTGATTATTATCTGAGTTGAGATTATCTTATTGACAATCTCAACCTCACGATTTGAGGCATCAATCTCTTAGGTAACATCTGATGCACTATCTGATGGGTGACACTATTTACGAAGCTAAAATCAGTATGCTAAGTTCCCTTGAACATACTGCGTTCTGATTTAGTTTGCAATTATCAGAGTATTCTCGATTTACAGTAAAACTACTGTTTCCATTTTCCACCGGATTTTTGTTTGTTTTAAACTTGGTATCTAGTCATTTGACAAATGAAGTTGCATTGTGGGTAACAATTGCTCAATTTTTCTTTTCTTCTTTTTTATCGTTAAATTTGATTGTGAGGACCTTGAACATTTCAAAAGCATCCCAAAGGAGGAGCGCTTTTTCACGTCGGTTTCATTTTTTGACGGCACACTTAGTCCTGTGATGTCGCATACTCCAACGATTGAAGGCGCCCCGCTTGACAACTTTAAAGTCAGCAAATTATTGCTCTTACTTGGCCAAATAAAGGAATAAAAGTTGATACCTTTGATTACCTTAAACTAGAAGGTATTTGAAAGTTAACGGTCTCTGGAATTTTCATTTTTCGCGTTTCCTCAAATTTGCCGCCATGTTGAATTTTCCAAAATTTTATTTTGAAACAATGCCATCCAGACTTGTGACAACGTCAGGTGTTTTTCCTTTTCCTAAAGGGCACTTTTCAAACTTTTCATTCCTGGTTTGTTTTTGTTTTTTCGATAATTTGGAGCTCAACGGCGATTTTTTGAGAAGTGGTCAATTTAAAATTTTGACTGGCTGTAACTTTTGAACGAAAGAACCGATTTTAATTTTATTTGAGCCATTTTTCGTGTCTTTTAAAGTTATTTTTAACCATGTCTAGAAAAATGGGGGTTGCTATTTGAATTTTTGAAGTTGCCCCCCCCCCCCCTGGAGCTTACCCTCGGGGATACACCAAGACAAACCCCTCATCGAAAAATTTCCCTTTTTGGATGATAAAGAATGCCACAAACCGCGACCTTCTATCTTTTTTTGTTCAAAAATTATACCCACTTTTCAGTTACTTTACGGACACCCGGTATGTGTCAGTAGCCCTAGTATTATCAATACCCAAAAACCACCAAACCACCCCCCGCACAAGTTCATTGTAAATGTTTAATCTTTTCTGCGCACATGGGCGGAAATAGGGAGGGGGGCAGCCCTCCCCACAATACTGCTCAGCTCCTTCCAAAAATGTCAAGGTCCCAAGCTACTAATTAGTCTTCAGGAAAAAGACATAGGGAATGTACCTGTATAGCGAGAGTATGGACAGATCGCTTCATGGAGGGCTTAGGGCCCAAAAGTGCAGCCACCCTTCAAACCAACTTCTAAAGCACAAAATTTCACTGCCAGTCTGTAGATTCCAATTCTAGCGAAGATGGCTAAGAAGGTACATAAATGAGCGTTCTTCCACAAAAATGAGTAAATTTATGCAAAAACTAAGTCAAATACGTGCTTTATAAACGGTGGTTCATAACAATTGTATTAATAAATCGCTCTGGATAATTGAAATTCATAGGTTGGCTGCATTTCTGGGCCCTAACTTTATTCGCGGAGGCGTTGGTGAAGGCCTGATGGATTTTCGGCGTTTTACATGTGTCCATACTCTCGCTATACAGGTACTCTAAATGGAATGACCCTGTAATAAAACCCAACAGTGTTATATTTTGAATGAACTAAAACCCACAGTAAGATATGATATTTTTAAAACAAGTCAGCAAAATTTCTGTCATCTGTAATATTTAATTCCATTTAATTTGCCATTAAGTACGGCTTAAAAATTGCTCTCGAGACGTTCTGATGTTAAAAAAAAGTCCCCCTTGGCGCAAGTTCTATATCCCCTGTGCCCAACCCCCCCCCCCCCCCCCCNCCACAGAAAATTCCTCTGCTAATGACGTGCCTGACGGCGGGTACCAGCAGTCTCTTAAAGTGTACAGTTAGTTAATAGTTATTCAGTGCATAATCTAACTCTTTCTATTCTTTCTGTTTCCTTTGTTCTCTCTCTCTCTCTTGATGTGACATAATTTTATTTCTTCTGTAAACCTTAGGGTGGCAAGTAAATAACAAAAAACTGAAAATTCCTACTAATGCCCATGTCTGCGCACGATCATACTCAGTCTCTCAGGCACATTTTTAATAAATGAAGGATTCTTAAAATTCAATTCAGAATTAATAAACAGCAATTCCTTACAATATCATCAGTCCACCTTACGTTAGGAGTAAAGAAAGAGTGGTGAAAAGTAAATTAAATGGTCCTCGTAGACGGATAATATTGAAGGAGCCGTCTTTATTCGAATTTCCCGCTAGGTTCTTATTGAGCGTCAAACCGTCACCGCCGTTTTTGAAGACATTTGTGTTAACCAGTTTTCATTTCTTTCTTCTGTGGTTTGATTCTCTTACACACAGAGTGTTACCTTTAAGGTGATTCATAGGGGTTTCTGACAAGGTCGAATGTGCATGCGACATATTGCATCGATTATGTCAGAGATCATCATCAGATTTTGAATTGTTAGTCAAACAGAGAACAATAGCCTCTGCGCCTAAATGATCATTCGAAGGTAACAAATTGGAAAAATTCAGAGCAATGAATGTTGTTCAGAAAACAACCTCGCATTCGATACAGAAATCAATAACTGTAACAAATGCTAGGTTTTTTTCCAAATAAGTAATATTCTACAACCATTTCTCTAAACTTTTTGGTTTCGAATGAGTCTGTGGGCTCATGCGCAGGAGATATAGTACTATTATGGGCTATCTATACTATAAGCTCCCAGGCCTCCTAATTTTGCGTAACTGGTGACGCTTAGTTCCGGCGTTCTACCGGGCCGATTTTCATGATTTTTGCGGTTATCGACGGGCAATTTTCTCTAGATTAGCCCATTTTATTCAGTTTTTCAAAATATGACCCAGGTTTCTTTATATTACATGGTAAAGTTGCGAATTCTCCCATTTAAACAATGTAAATTTATACTTTTTGTCATGGTTCGTTTGAGCGTTCTACAAGGCCGATTTTCATGATTTTTGCGTAAATCGACAGGTAATAGGCCCTAGATGAGCCCGCTCTAATCAGATTTTGGAAATAGGAACCAGGTTTTTTTAAAATCACCTTGTAAAAGTGAGTGAATTTACAGAACGCTCCGTGACTGCTACCGCTATGCGCGGGAGGATGCGCGGGAGGATGCGCAGTGGTCGAGGAGGTTGCGCAGTAGCTGCGTAGCCTGCGCATCAGCTCTCTCCTTATCTACACAAGGTTCGCACCTGATACCTGAAGACGAGCGGTGGTCGAGTCTTCTAAAACGTCAGAGTTGTCCATCTTAATCACGGTGTGGGTTCGATCCCAGGCTCCTGAATTATTTCATTAATACCTAATTAGCATTGTTCGTTGTTCTACTGCAATATTTCATCAAGCAGTCATTCCAAAACGCGTCATTTTAATTGACTTCAAATTTTTTTTTTTTTTCTTTATACATCAAAACCAAAAATTATTTCATTCTAAAAGTAAAGTGTTCCTCGTATTGTAATTTTTTACGGGGAAAATAAAACTAACACTGAAAGGATGGTAAAAATGGGGCCGCGAAGCGGCCCATTGATGGCGCGGAGCGCCTTCAGGGGGTTGGGCCGCGTAGCAGCCAGGGGGCGTAGCCCCTTAGTAAATTCAGATTCTGCCACGCTTTATGACATAATTGGTGCGATACATTGCATGCAAGTTCAACTGCGCCAGGAACCGTGACAAATCACCTTAAACTGGAGTCACTGGATCAGCTTTATGCCAATTGTCATCGCAGCCATCCATCTGACTGATACAGCCACCTCTGATCCTCACTGAGCGAATGAGTAGGTCCCAACACTTCTCACCTGGATGTTTAGATCATGAGTAATATTATTAGTTATTTTTCAATGCGAGGAGGGGGCGATTATGAAATGTGAGAGTTAGCGATTATGTACCTTGTAGGATAGAAGTTCGCCGATATCCATTTTGACAGTAAGATAAAGTTGGTACAGCAACAGCCAGCTTTCAATTCAATGTTCAAACTATGACAAAAAGCAATACCAGTATGTACCAGTCTAGTCTACCCGTCACCAGTCCAGTAGGAATTGCCAGAATTGCAACAACTCAAGAAGAAGAAGACAGAGAGTCCCATTGCTGTGTGTGACGAACGTCTAGACCCTGAGCGAGCATAGTACGAATATTCGCCACTTGCAGCGCTGCCATGGACCAAGAGAATAATATAGAAATAATAATAGATATAGATAATATAGAATAGAATAGGTAATATAGAATAATAATATATAAATATTTATTCTCTTGGTCCATGGCGCTGCATGTTCTGTTTTGTTTGGTCTCGCTTATCAGTTTATTCCATTGAGTACATAGAGCATTGACTTATAATACAATCTAGACCGCGCATTGGGCCCGACTTTAGGCGGGGAAGGTAAGACAACTAGGGGGGTAAAGACGCGCCTTCAGCCTAGTTGATACCGCCGGATATACGAGCTAAGTGTACCCGTATCAGGCAACGGCACTGGCAAGACTAGCTTGAAGGGAGCCTAGTCTCGCCGAAATTTCCTAATGCGCGGTCTAGATTGTATTATACGTCAATGACATAGAGTCGTTGGAGTCGTAATGTAAATGGGAGACAAGGCGGATGAAGAATGGTGGTCGCATTTCGTACCCTCTGGACGTCACACTATGGAACGCCGTTAGTGTCAAAACTCTTTTCTTGCGCGCGCGGAATTTTTTCTGGCGCGCGGAAAGAAAAAACCCGTTTTCGATGAAAATCTCTGAATTTCCGGATTCCGCGCCGGTTTTCTGGCGCGCGGAAAGAAAAAACCCGTTTTCGATGAAAATCTCTGAATTTCCGGATTCCGCGCCGG